TTGTGGCAGGGAACTACCAAGAGCGTATAAGCCACAAGGTAACAACCATTGTGAGGGAATATGGTGGGACCTATTGGAGGCTGGCTGCCAAGTACCAGAATGCACCTGGAGGCCCCCCACCACCATTCACCTCAAAGAGGAGTCCAGAAAGGCAGTGGGCACCAAGCCTTGTACATACTGAGTGCTCAGCACCGGTGGCACCACCTTCAACTCCAACCAAAGCACAGAGACCTTTCGCCCTTACTGAGGCCTGCTGACCAGACAGGGGGAAGACAGACCCCTTCTTTCAATGAAAGGCAACTAGAGAAGCATCACTCTTTTTTTTCTTTCTTTTCCTTAAGGTTTTAAACACCTAATTTATTCCATCCATTAGATAGATTTTGTAGATTTAATCATTTTCACAGTTGGTGGCTCATTGGATATTCAAGATAAACTCCAAATGAAAGTATAATGGTGAGGACAAATGAGTTTTCACACCACACTGGCAGAAACTTGCTTGGGAAGAGAGTTTAAGAGGAACAAAAATACATACAGATATCATTTTTTCCCCCCCGGCAGCCGCCGCTTTTGCTGACTATAGTAGGTTACCACAGTTAATTTCACCAGTTTTGCTCATCTGTAAAATTGCATAAAAGTGACATTTTTGTGCTCATTATAGCAACTGCTGATTTACGGCTGGTAAATGGAGAACTGGGCCCTTTTTTGCGGGACTCTCCGAGTGGCGCTAAGTGCCCATGAAATTGCTTGTATAATGTAGTTTAAATCCAATCTCGGAGAAAGATTCCCCCGTTGGCCAAAGTGACATTTCCATTCTCCACACCGAGTTTATTTTAGGCCACTTAGGAGGGGCTACCCCAGAACAGGGGCCAGTAGCCGACCCAGGGTCAGGTCTACCTGCCCGGTCCAGGTGAAGACAGAGGGGCGCAGCCCCAGCCTCCCAGGGGTGCTTTGTGATCTCTGCTTGCCTCCCTGCCGTCTGCCCAGTTAGACCACATCCATTCTGCTCAAGGTTGCCAGAATGATCTTTTTGACCTGCAGGCCAGTCTGCCCCTGGCCCTCCCTGCTTTTAACCTTCAAGGGCTTTGTGATGCCTGAGAACAAGATTTTCCACCCAGGCCCTGCTGACATTTGGAGGCTGCAGTCCTTTGCGGGGACTTGTTGGGTGGCATAAAAGGTTAAGTGACTACTAGCCAGAAGGTTGATTTGAACCCACATAGAGCTCCTTACCGAGGTGGCAGTCTGCTTCTGGAAAGGTCACAGCCTTCAGACCCTGTGGAGCAGTTCTGTCTGACGCCTGGGGTCACTGTGAGGCAGAATCGACTTGATTGCAGCGGCAGCAATCCTTTGTCGTGGGCGACAGCCACTAGTATTTCACCCTTAGGTGGGATACCCAGACATAGTCCAGATATTGCCAAGTGACCTCTGGGAGCAGAACCCTCCCCACCTTCCCACCCCATGGCTCCAGCTTCCTGTTCACTCTTAGCATTGCTGGCTCCCACCCGGCCCTGCTTCCTCACCTCTGTACTTTCTTCATACTGTTCTCTCCACCTGCGATGATATGCTTGTCAACACCCTTCCTTTCCCCAACAACCCAGGACTCCCCTTGGAGACCATGTCTTCAGAAAGTTGCCCTAGCTGGCCCCCCCAGGTCCCCACACTCCCTCATTTCATATTGGCTGTGAACCTGGGATGGGGACTTGGAGGTAAAGCTCTGAGAAGAGGAAGTGTGGCCATGTGGTGGGGAGACCTGGGAAGATGATAGGGGTCTGTGTTTGGCACCCACTAGAGTTCCCTTTTCTCTCCCAGGAAGCCTCTTGCCCTGGCAGCTTGGTGGAGGGATGGTGAACGTTCACTCAGCACTTGCTTCTGCTCCCCTGCCCCACTAGCATGACCTAGCAGGTCCTCACAGCTACCTTAGGGCATCCCCATTATACAGATGAAAAAACTGAGGCTCTCCCAAGCTTCCCGCCCCTCTGCAGGGAGGGGAGGAAGTAAGTGTGCTATAGAGAGACCTCAGAGGAACCTTTTTGCTCGAGTGCCCAGACAGGTCACAGTTCCTCAGCAACCACTGGGTACTTGACTCCCATGTGGGCCTTGGTACAGTCACTTCTCAAAGCCACTTTGTAAATCTGGCACGATCTGCCTTAGGAGGGGAAACATGCTAGGTAAATGTTGCCATTTACCTAGTCAGTTCTATCATATGGTGTCCCCGTGTGTGTATCAGAGTAGAACTGTGCTTCACATGGTTTTCAGATGCTGATTTTCAGAATCAGTTTGTCACCTTAGGAGCCTCTCAGTGGACTTGAACCAACAACCTTGATGAAAGGTTAGCAGGCCCAAGGACTCCACTCAGGACCACACAGCCCCACAAGCAGGATGCAACCCAGGCCTGGCCAGCTCCAAAGCCCCCTCCATTCCACCCAGGAGGGTCTAGGGATCATGGGTCTGCCTGCAAGTAACCCCTAACAGTGGGAACAGATGGACAGCCTGCATGTGGACGGCTTACAACAAAGGGCAGAGTGGGCACCACCACACTGGTCCTGCAGATAGTGACAGGAATTCTTGGGGGGTGGGGCCCAAGCCCCTCCTCACCCACCACTTTGATGTATATGGTGAAAGTATACACAGAAATACCTTCATCAGTTTCCACATGTACAATTCCGTGACATTGAGTACGTTCTTCAAGTTGTGCAAACCAGTCTTCCTATCCTGTCCCAAGGATCCCTGCACCATTACCATAAATGCAAAAACTCGCCCTTCCTCCCACTCGTGGTAACCACGATTCATCTTTGGTTTCTCTATATCAGCCTGTTTCGTATATGTAAGACACCTAGCGCATCCAGCATTCTGTGGCGGCTTTGTTTTGTTCACTCAGCTGCTGCGTCTTAAGCCCATCTGAGTGGCACACATCAGAAATTCATTTCTCTCTCTGGCTGAGCATAGGGAAGAAAACCAGCCTATATAGCAGTAGTCCCCACCTGCACAGCCTCATGCCCACCCCCTTGCACCAGACACCAAGCTCTCTTCATATAGTAACCCGCTTTACCCATCCTGTGAAGATGGCAGGTCCCCCTCGTCCTATTTTCCAGATGAGGAAAGGGAAGCGCCAAGAAGATGAGTAAGGGAATAGAAAGAATGGACACCCACAAGGACGGTGTTTAATCAAGACAGAGGACAACAGGTGTCCTCAAGAACAATGAGCCACTGAAGCTCTGCTCTGCTACTGAGCCTTTAACCCAGACACAGTCTCTCTGGCAAGCTTGGGCATTTTTTTTCTCCCAAAGCTCAGCATATTGCTGTGGTTGTACATCCTTGAGTTGATTCCAATTCAGAGCAGCCCTGTAAGGCAGAGTAGAACTGTCCCACAAGGTCTCCAAGTCTGTAATAATATTTACAGGAGCAGACTCTGTTCTCCTGTGGAACAGAGGCGGGTTCAAACTGCTGATCTTGCAGTTAGCAGGGAAGCATTGAACCATTTCCCCACTGGAACGCCTGAAGTTAAACATAGGCTTCCCCTCTAACCAGAGAGACCACTTCTGAGTATTTCTCCAGTAAAATTCACTAAAAATGGGAACCAGGACACATGCCATAACCAATTTCACTGAACCATCTGCGTAAAAATTGTTGGAACCTAACCTGCTAGGTAAACTTTCAACAAAAGCTGATAAAACGTTATTTAAAAACAGAAAAAAGACGTTTTACATAACAGTCCAAATGCCCGTGAGCGGCAGAGCAGATGAACACATTGTGGTCGTCACCCAGCAATGAGAAAGAACAGCCAACCACTACACAGGAGACTATATGGACCTCATGAACGTTATGTGACAGGAAGAGAAACCCGACACGAATGAGCACAGATTGTAGGGTTCCTTTTTACCAGGCACCACCAGGCCACGTGAGTAGAAGACAGGGGAGCGGTTAACTACGGAGGGCTAGTGACCGGAAGGGGCATCTGTTGGGGGGTTAGCCATATTCTGTTTCTTGGCCTGGGTGTCATTATATAGGCATACTCTGCTTGTGAAAGTTCCCGTGTATGTTATGTGCAGTCTCCTTGACATAGTCTACACTTAGTAAAAGGCTTAAAAATCTGTTGTTGTTGATAAGTGCTGATGAGCCAGTCCCAACTCAGCAACCCTATGTAGCAGGGGTGGGGAATGTCCAGTCCTTGGGCAGTATGTTGTTGTTAAATGCTGTCAAGTCGGTTCCAACCCATAGCAACCCTGAACAGGGTTTCTGGGGCTATAAATCTTTACGGGAGCAGAAAGCCTCATCTTTCTCCTGTGGAGCAGCTGGTAGTTTCGAACTGCTGATCTTGCGGTTCACAGCCTGATTCATAACCACTACGCTACCAGAGTTCCTTTTGGGCCGCATAGGCTCATGAAATCATTTGGTGTGGCCCTGCCAAGGCAACCACAGTTTCAGCCATGGCACTGTTGTTGTTAAGTGCCGTCAAGTTGGTTCTGACTCATAATGACCCTGTTTAGGGTTTCCGAGGAGTGGCTGGTGAGTTTCAACTGCCGACTTTGTGGTTGAAGCCAACATTGCAGTCCAGCACATTAATCCACAGTGCCACACCAGGACTCCATCACGTTGTTGTTGTTGTGAAGTGCCATCGAGTCAGTTCCGACCCATAGCAATCCTGTATAGGGTTTCCAAGGAGCAGCTGGTGAGCTTGAACTGCCAACCCTGCAGTTCAAACAGCTTTGCAGTCTGGCGCATTAACCCACAGCACCACACCATCACATTAGGGGTGAGTTAATTAAATGTTTGACCAAATATAGCAGGTTAATTTTTAACTTGATCATTTTGTCTGGTCTGCGAATGATGTTATAAATTTGGGCAGCAAATAGGCTCCCCATCTCTGCTGTATAGAGTTTCTGAGAAGCAGCTGGGGAGTTTGAACTGCCGACCTTGTGGTTAGAAGGAAGGAATGAGGGAACAATGGGCAAGGGAATTGGAGGGACCAGGTCTGTGCTTTCATCTCCTCCTTGTCTCCACAGGCGAGCCAGCCGCCAGCTCCATGCATTCCTCCCGCTACCCGAGCCCGGCCGAGCTGGATGCGTATGCTGAGAAGGTGGCCAACAGCCCACTCTCTATCAAGATCTTCCCCACCAACATCCGGGTACCCCAGCACAAGCACCTTAGCCGTACTGTCAACGGTTATGACACCAGCGGCCAGCGCTACAGCCCCTACCCACAGCACGCCAGTGGCTACCAGGGCCTGCTGGCCATCGTCAAAGCTGCTGTCTCCTCCTCCAGCGTGGCTGCTCCCACTGGGCCTGCCAAGAGTGTGCTCAAGAGCGCTGAGGGCAAGAGGACCAAGCTGTCGCCGGCCGCTGTGCAGGTGGGCATTGCACCCTACCCGGCACCCAGCACTCTGGGGCCCTTGGCCTACCCCAAGCCACCTGAGGCACCTGCCCCGCTGGCTGGCCTGCCCGCAGCCGTCACTGCCGCCTCCGTCATCCCCCTGCCTGGCCGTGGCCTGCCCCTCCCGCCTTCCAACCTCCCTTCTATCCACAGCATCCTCTACCAGCTCAACCAGCAGTGCCAGGCCCCAGGCGCTGCACCTGCAGCTTGCCAGGGTGTGGCCATCCCCCAGCCTAGCCCAGCTAAGCACGGTCCAGTGCCCAGCTTCCCCAGCATGGCCTACTCGGCGGCTGCTGGGCTGCCTGACTGCCGGAAAGGGACTGAGCTGGGCCCTGGAACCACACCGGCCTTGACGTTGGCCGGGGCCACCAAGCCTGCAGGGTACTCAGACGGTGGCCTGGATTACTTGCTGTGGCCGCAGAAGCCGCCCCCACCACCGCCCCAGTCACTGCGTGCCTATAGTGGTGGCACGGTGGCCAGCAAGTCCCCTGAGGCATGCGGGGGGCGGGCCTATGAGCGGGTCAGTGGGTCGCCCCTCAACTGTGGCATTGGACTGCCTGCCAACTTCACCGTGGGCCAGTACTTTGCAGCCCCCTGGAACAGTGTGCTGGTGACCCCCACCAGCGACTGCTATAATCCAACGGCAACGGTGACTGTGACGGAGCTAGGGCCGGGGGTGGCACGGGCACTGGCAGGGCCCCCCGTGGACACCCTCCCAGGCCTGCCCAGTCGGAGCATGTGCAACACTTCGGTGCTGAGCAGCAGCCTGCAGTCCTTGGAGTACCTCATTAATGACATCCGGCCACCCTGCATCAAGGAGCAGATGCTGGGCAAGGGCTATGAGACGGTGGCCGTGCCCCGGCTGCTCGACCACCAGCATGCCCACATACGCCTGCCCGTCTACAGATAAGGCCTGCCCGGCACACAGACAGACAGACAGACAGGGCGCTGAGGGGTAGGCAGGCCATGGGGCAGCCCCCTGTGTCTGAGAGTGCCCGGGATGCCACAGGGAAGCCAGGCTGGGGGTGGGGGTGGCAGGGCGACCTCATGCACCCAGACCCTTCCCCCATCAGCTGCCCAGGACACAGGTGGGCCTGAAGAAGCTGCTTGTGTCTGTGTCTGCCTCCATCCACGCTGGAAGAGGCAGGGAGAGAGAAACCACTGGAAAAGAGGAACGGGGGGACACGGAAGGAAATGTGACGCTCTTGAGTCAGGGTGGGGTCAGAGAGCTGGCTCCTCTCCCCCTGGAAAAGGAAGAAAGGGGGCCTGGACCCCCACTGTCCCCCGACCGGCCAATCTAGGCCAAGACCACTTTGATGGAGGCCCCAGGGACTACTGGTCTCCCTGGCCCTCCTCTCCCCGACCCATCCTTCCTAACAGAATCCCACCCCCAGTCTCCAAACCCTGGACTACCCTCTTCCCCGAGCCCCAGTACATCTTACAGGGCTGCCAGGCACAGTTGTGCAGGTTGTACACTGCACAAGGGCACCTCAGCCAAGGAGACACCACCACGCGCATCCTGGACAGGGATATTCGTTACAATAATTTTCCACATCTTGAGGAAGGGGCACCATTTTCATATTTGCACAAAGGTGCCACAGGGGCCCACTATCTGACCCATTTAGAGATAACCCATCTTGCCTTCCTCAGGGGTCTCCTTGAAACTAGCGAGGGGGTAACTGGTCTTAATTGGGGAACTGACTCCTTTCCTGCAAACCAACCTCCAAGGCCCACCTCCAGCAGCAGGAGGGGAAGACAGGCAGGGGTCCCCCACTAGGTCCCCAGGGCCCGAAACCCAAGCCCTGCCCCCCCTTGGCGCTCCGGAAGCGGTACTGTATCTCTCCAAGGCCTGTTCAAGCACTAAGTGCATTTACAAATCTCTGAGAATGTTTTTTTTATACTAAAATTGACCATTATATTCTACTGTGAGAAGTGCAGTCTGCACTATATTGTTTTAAAAGCAAAGAGAAAAAAAGAAAACACAGATGGCGTCTCAGCTGTTGGATTGCTTCGGGTTCTCGTTCACTTCTTCCCTTGGAGGGAAGCAGCCGGGCTTCTCCTGGCCCCTGCCTTGAAAGCCTGAGGGAAGCTGGCCAGGAGGGCCTGGTCCCTGCCTGCTAGGGGTACTGGGCACTTGGGGGTTCACTGGCTTCCATCTCTGTAAAGGTGGACACTGTCACTGCCTGTTTGCATCCCAGCTCACAGGCTGCTAACTGTTGGGTCATGGCACGAGCAGACATGGACCTCCAGTGCTGTCCCTGTGCAGTGCCGAGCAGCTTTGGGGATGACACCCTCATTCCATCATTAAATGCCTCCCCAGCACCTGTTGGTGCCTGACATGCTGCAGATTTCAATGGTGACAGGCCAGAGTGGCTGGACACCAGCCACCTTGCTGGCCATCCCAAACACAGCTAGGCCAGACGCTCCAGTATACCCCAACCCAGATACCTGAGGAGACCGTCCCTGAGAACAGCCCTATCCCACAAAACTTGGCAATTACCAGCCACTTACTGTGTGTCTGCTGGAGGTCCCTAGGGGGCACAGTTTGTACTTGACTACTAACCTAAAGGTGTGACACTGGAGGATCAGCACTGGACTACAAGGTCAGCAGTTCAAACCCACCAGTCACTCCTTAGAAACCCTATGAGTCGGAACTGACTTGATGGCACTTACCAACAACAAACTAACCAAAAGGTTGGCGGTTGGAACTCCCCCAGCAGCACCACAGAAGAAAGGCCTGGCAATCAGCTTCAGTAAGGGCTACCAGCCAGAAAATGACCTGGAGCACTTCTCTCTCACATGGGTCCCCTCAAGTCAGAATCGACTCTACAGCTGCGGGTTTGATTTTTCGGGTGTTACTGTGTGTTGGGTCTTTTCATGTCCACTCTCTCTAGTTGGAGCCTCACAAAGCTTTTGCAAGGAGGGGGTGTCGAGAGGAAGAAACTGGACTCCGAGAAGTGAAGTAATTTGTTCAGGGTTACACAGCAAGTCTATGACAAAGCTGGGATCCAAGCCCCACAGTACAAACTCTCCCAGAGCCTGTCCCCGCCTTCGCTTCATTCCCTCTTCAGTGTGGCTGGATTCCCGAGTCTGATTGTGGGTACTCCTCACACAGACAAATCTGTCCAGATAGCTGGTACGAGGAGGTCCAGGGCAGGGGTGGGGAGAGAGAGGCCACCCAAAACAGGACCCTGTGGTGGGGGCTTCCGCCTCCTTAGGGCCAGGCCTCACCCTTGCCGGGTCCCTGGGAGCTTGCGGGACTTAGCACCCAGCTCTCAGGAGAACTGTCTTACTATAAAGGAAGAAACAGGCTCCAAGGGAGACTTTTGAGACAAGTCAGTGAGCCAAGCCCATCAACGCAGCCCAGGCCAGCCCTGGGGAGCAGCACGCAGCACAGGTAACGAGCTGCCAGGGGAAACCACAGACAGGTGGCAAAATGCTTTTCTGGCCTTGATTCTCACAACAACCCATCAAGCACATAAATACATCCACCTTTTACAGAGGAGGACTAGGCGAACCTGAAACAAGGCCACAAGGAGAGTAAAAAGAGTCAGGTTTCTGGTGGAACCCCAGGCCCTGGTTTAGGCTGCCTCAAGATACCCATCTTCTCTCCTACACCCCCCAACCCCATACACATAAACAGCCCATAGTCCACCTTGGGCACCAGAGTACCCAGGGCAACTCCACCCCAGGGTCAAGGGCAGTGAAAATACCTGAGGAGAGGAGCCCCTGGTATCCAGGTGTGCCGCTGTGGGTTAATGTGCTGAACGGCAAGGTCGGTTTGAACCACAAGGTTCAAGCTCACCAGCCACTCCTCAGAAACCCTATACAGGGTTGCTATGAGTTGGAACCGACTGCATGGCACTTAACAAGAAGAAGGAGCCCCTGTGTGGTACAGACAGTTATACCTGAAAGGTTAGAGGTTCAAATCCACCCAGAGCTACCTTGGAAGAAGAAAAAAAGTACAGGCAAGAAACCCTATGAAGCAATTCTAGTCTGTCCCGTGGTGTTGTCATGAGCCAGCGTCAACCTGATGCAGCTAACAACAAGTTAGTGTACACAGACTAGGAACTCCACTTAGTCCTCACAGCCATCTGACACGATATAGATGTTGTGGCCTCATGAGGCCCAGAGAAGTACAATCAGGATTCCCAACACAGCCAAGGGCAGGGCAGCAGCTGGGCTGCTTAACACATATTAGAGTCAACTAAGCTATCTAGAGACTACCAAATGCCAACTCCAGCCATCCCTCCCAACACACTCTACCATTTAGTTGGGCTCAGTAATTCATTGCAATGGCCACACCAAGCTTACAGTTACGGGGTTTATCAGACACCAAGCTTACAGTTAAGGGGTTTATCAGAGAAGTTAAGTTATAATCCGAGTCAGGGCACAGTTGTTCCAGTCAGGACAGCCTCTTTCCAGCCATACCCACAGGCAGGCCTCTCGCTGGTCCTTGGCCTCTTAGCCATGGGTCTCTTGACCACTGCCCTGCTCAAACCATGTCACAAAGCTCTTTTAGGGTTGCTGGTAAATGTCCAAAGGCACTCCACTCCACTATAAACTTCAGCCCCAAAGACCTCTGGTTCTAGTTCTGTGGGTCAGCAAACCTAGCTCCCCTGATTAAGTGCTTGGAGGAACCCCATGCCACAAGTAAGCTTCCTAACTAAAGACATTCCATTTTATTTGCTCGGTGGACTGGGAAGCCCACTGCTCGGTCCTCTGCTGTCAGCTTTCTGTCCCTAGGTTGAGAGGTTCAATGTTCAGGAAACTCAGGCCCCAAAGGACCTGTTCCACATCTAGTTCTTTATTGAGGGTAGTGACACCCTCCATCCTGCTTCTCAGACGACTCATTTTAGAGCTCCAAGTTTTTATAATTAGCCCCGTTAACAATCACTCACAACTGAAACATAATTCATCATCATCTTCCCCCACCTTCTATTACCCAGACCCATCAGGAAAACGTGGTCTAATGGGAGTTACAAAGACTACGGCTAGAAGAAATATAAATAAAGCACTGCCTCACAGGCTCAAAAGATATACAATCACTACCCAAAACCACAGTTAAGGACGGAGATGCAGCTGGGTTTGAACTCCAGCCTGCCCATATCATCAGTCTGAGTTCTTGACTGCTGTACTGTGTGGAGAATATCAAACAACCACCAACACCCAAACATGGCCTTCAGAGGCCTAGCCTTGGGTCTCTCCCTTGTTGGAAGCCCAGGGGAGAATCTGCCATCTCATCTCTCATGTGGTTGAGTTCTGTGGAGTCTGTTCCTACTCATAGCAAACCTGTATGGGGTTTCCAAAGATCAGCTGGTGGGTTTGAACCACCGACTTTGCAGTTAGCAGCCCAGTGCATATCCTACAACAGCATACCAGGGCTTTCTGTTTGGGGGGGGGGGGGACTCACATCTCTAGACACGTGTGGCTGGCCCAGAATCCCAACTATGATATCTCTTACGGTCGGAAACCCGATACAGGGTCGTGATAAGTCGGAACTGACTCGATGACACTTAACTATCCTAACAACCAACTCAAGAGATGGTCGCCCCATTTCCCAATCACTAATCAGTGGCTGCGTGAAGGGGACTGAGCACGGAGACAGAGGGTGTTAGAAACAAACACCTTGCTATAGTGTCTTTGACTTACCTCGCTGTCCTTAGAACACTCCTCTACCATTTCCGGGAGCGAAGCTCAGGACTGCAACTTGAGCCCCTGAAGTTGACTTGAACGGAAAAGCAAGTCCCCTCACTCCGCTGAAGCCGGCTTGCGCACGCGCACTGTGCCTGCGCACTTCCTTAATCCTTAAAGGGCTGGTGGACGGAGCTCTCATAGTATGGTTAAGAGTCGGGCTACTAACCTCAAGGAGGAGGTGTTGAGTCTGTAGCAGGACAAGCCTGGCTTGGA